AATAAAGTGAATGTAAGAGAGGGCCTTTATCTGGAAACCAGAGCTGCTTCCTGGCCTCCAGATTGTTGACCTGTATAAATGTATCAGCAAACCCCATCAAACCACTTCTGGCTGCCTGGTTTCTTTCAAGTGATGTTTCCAAAAGAAGGCTCCTCTCTCTACAGCCCAGCTTGCTGGAGCTTAGTGGAAGGCTCCAGGTTTTGTGTTCTTCCTACATGAAGTAGCTAAGAGGAGTTTCCAATGGTTTTCTGCTTTTTAGTCTCCTGAGCTGCTGAATCCAGTTCAGCCCTGAGCATTATTCAAATTGCCTCCTGTGTAGTACAGGTTCCTTTTACTCAATCCTGTCTAACTGAAGGCTTTCGAAACAGAACAGCATTTCTCCTTCTGTCCTACCAGAAGGGGCCTCCTAGGTCAGATTCTCTCTCATATGCACAGCTATGGCCTGACACAAACTGAACCTACGATGCTGCTGCTTTGTACTGGGTGAGCAACATGATCCAAATCTACCTTGAGGACACCCAGAGGCAACAGAGGGAGAGGGTAGGAGTGCACATGTGGGATGTGGAGAGGCTACCTGTATAGGCAGCAGCTTGCATTTAATTTGGATTAAGCACTTCATGAATCTACACCCTTAGTTACACTGGATTTAGCTTCCAGGTCACTCTTAGTCATCACAGTTTGCAGCGTCCCTCCCAGAGGCCACTCACACACACACTGTGTGCCACAGCACACCATCATTTCCAGCACTTCTGCTCCCTTGTTTGGCCTGCAAGCTCATGGAGGGGTTTCTGCCTGTCAGCCCCACTAGCTCCTCACCAGCCAGGGCAGCCCAAAGCTGTACCCACTGTGAAAGGCCCCTTCAATGCTCCTCCCGTGTACTCAGGGATGTGGGAGTCATGGGAAGCCTTGGCCTTGGGGTCTGTCTGTGTCACAGCACAGCAGCTGTGCCTGCTGTGGGGAGGAGTAATCAGACTGATGACACATTGCTGCTGCTGCTGCTGCTGCCCATCGGTCAGCAGCCGGCACAGCTCCAGGCAAACACGTTTAGCATCTCCTGAGCAAGCTGAGATTAAATCCCGGGCAGCACAAAAATACCACAGGCAGGTAAATGAACAGAGAACAAAAATTATCTCCAACCTGCGTGGCTTGCCAAATTGCAGTTGGTTTCGTGTCCTCAATCAAGTTCAAACATGACAGCAGTTCCTAATACAACACAGGGCTTCAAAAAAGCCCTAAAACCAGCACTGTGGGGACAGCAGCTCCTGCTGCCTCAGGGGATGAACTAATCAAATTACACAAGAGGAAAAGGGTGGCAGTGCTCAACTTTCACCTTTCCTGAACTGTTGCAATTTTTCCAGGAAGGGTGTTGGTTCTTTCAAGAAACGTCACCTCCTGCAGACTCACACAGTGAAAGTGCTTACAGGTACTTTTGAGAAGCAGCCGTGAACCACTGAGGTGGTTCTGAGCCCAAAGCCATCTAAAGAACCTCGCTTCTCCTCTTCCTTTACGTCCGTGGCAGGGCCATTTTACAGGGCATGGAACCACTGCCCCAGCTCAGTAAAACCTGTGAGCACACCCATGGCTTTTCCCAGCTGCTTTGGCTGAAGTTCCATCACTGGTTAAGTGAGCCTCAAGCTGATGTCACTGGTCCTCTCCTTTCCCTCACACTGGCTGGGTGCTCCCACCTCTCTCTGTTGCATCAGTGGTGTCATTTATCTGACAACTGGAGCTGAGAGGAGCTTCAGCCTCCAGCTGGGCAGAAAACCAACTCCACAAGGAAAAAGGAATATTTTTTTTGCTGGCTTAAACCATATCCATAAACCCAGAACTGATCTGTACCCTCTGTAAGACACTTTCAAAAGGCAAGTTAGTGTAAACTTAGGTTCCTCTTGTATTTATCATTTTGCAAGATGTCAGATATGCTTCACAACCATAGACAAATTTTTGAAAACATGAGGGTATCTGAAGTTCTTGTTTTCGAGAAAGTATTTCTTTCCTGACTCTGAGAGAAAAAAAAGCAAGTCTGTTTCTAGTGATTTCTTCTTTGAAGCATTTCCAGAAAACAAAAACCTCTCAAGATTATTAAAAAAAACCAAAACCAAAAAATTCCAAAACCCTCCAAAAAGCCCCCAAACCAAAATAAAAACCCCCAAACAAAACCAAACCAAAACAAACCAAACAAAACAAAACAAAAAAAAAAGAAAGAAAGAAAGAAAGAAAAAAAATTTCAGTTGAAGAAGCAAAAATCTTGAATAATTTCTCATAGACTTTCACTGGAATCCAATAAACACATTACCAAATTACACTGTATATTTTACTAGCCTATGCTATCTCTGTGTATATTAGAGGCACAGCATGAAGAAAAACAATAAAAAATATTAACCTCCTTTGTATAACTCAGTAGAGTTATAAAATATCTAATTGAATAAACGATATTTGACATGAACAAATGGTGACATTTCCATGTAATGTTGCCTTTTTGGCTTCCTGACAAAGAAAAGCTTAAGGAACCGTGATTTTTGTTTCCTAAGGGCAAGTTCTCCTACTTGTATCAACTCAGCAATCAATACTAAAGTATGAGCATAAGCACTTTTAATTTATGAACTGTATACTTTGAGCAAGTTTAACAGTTTAATCTTACACATGTTTTTATAAGAGTGTTTATTTTTGTTGTACTGCATAAGAAACGCTTAATGGAAAATACTGCATTAAAGCATTAAAAGCAGCCATATGTGTAGAAAGACAGAAAAGGAATATTTAAAACACAGCTAAATTAATACTGTCCTGATTTCTTGTAAGCAGAAGAGCACCATTAATTTGAGGGAAAGCAAAGCCCCAAACGGGGAACCTGTGCTGATGTCACCCTGTGGCAGAAGAGCCTCAGAAGATATGAAGATCCTCTCTGTGGCCAGTGCTCAGATGACCAGGCTTTCCTCCTCACCAGAAGGCACCTGTCACTCTTATTTTTCACTGCAAGAGGACAGCTCAGTGCTCCTGAGTTTTGATATTTGGGTTTTTGTACCCAGTTCCCAATCCTGACCATGTGGCTTGTCCAGCATGCCCCCTCCAAAGCACCATTCCAGTGCTCCAGTGGATCTGGCAGCTTGCATGAAACTGGGAGTCAGCCAGGAGGGGTTACACGTGCTGGTTTAAACTGACCTAGAAAGGACTTACCAACAACAACACTTGCCTATAAAAATATCAGTCCTATTTATCTCTGAGAATAAGGAGTGGACTTTTACGAGGCTGGCTGCAGAGTGAATCACTGCTGTCCATTACTCACAGCTGAAATAGGATGTGACCTGCAGCTGGTGTTAGGGAGGGGATGGCTTTTCCCACCAAGCCCTTGTCCAGAGCTGATAAGGGTTTTCACAGGGTGTATTTATCCTGGAAAAAGCAGGCTCCTTCACTTTGTAGTATTGATGTTAGGCACAGATGGGCTTCTGGTTGCCATGCAGATGATAATGTTCCAGGGAGTTTCAGTTAATATTAAATGGAAAGTGGCTCAATTTGCATGTCTCTCTAGAAACAACAAACCAACTGTCTTGAGAATCAATATTGATAATACTCTGAATATGAAGCAAAAAAAAAAATAAACACACAAAGCCACAAGGAGCACGTCACGTGGTGACTCCAATAGCTCTTAGGAGACTGCAATATCATGCAACAGGAAAAGCAGGGCATTTAAAACAGAGCCAGTTCTTCAGAACTGTATTATAATTAAGACCATTCATTAATTATCAGATTGCAGATCATCTATATAAGCCACAAACTACTTGCCAAATCCATGTACTGGTGTAGGTGAGCACCACAGGCAAGAACAGCACACAGGAAGAAGAGGCAGACCCAGGCCAGCTGAGATGCAGGTCATGCACGTCCTAGGAGCATTCAGGGGCTGGGAAGAGACCTCTCACCACCCTTTGGCAAGGGAACACAGGGCTGAGGCAAGCCCACACTTGCATTATTGGATGTGGGATTTTTGTTCTTTTTGGCCTACGAAAATGTGAAGAGACAAAGCAGCAAGCAAGGAGGATTGTTTTGTAATTCTAACTCTCAACCCACATCACACACAATGAAGATCCTTGCTTGCCCAGATGCTTCGAGCCAGGATGAAGTGCTCATGACCATGTGTGGCTTCAGATTTCTCACATGGGTCTTGCCTTTCTCAGAGAAGTCTGACTTCTCAACCTGGTTATGCAGTCAGTGATGCACAGAAAATCGTATCATCTGACATTTCTACACCAGTCAAACTAAACTCTCTGATAGCCTGCTCTTTCTTCTTAGTGCCAGCTTTCTTACTTCCATTTAGGGAGGAAATATAAGATTTTCAGGAAAGCATAGAATTGTGGTCCCTTCCAACCCAGAATGGCCTAGAAGGGACCCTAAAAACCACCTAGATCCAAAACCCCAGCTGTGGGCAGGGACACCTTTCACTCCAGGTGAAAGGTGGAGGGTATATTTCTTAGCTCAAAGGCTATGAACAGTAGATTTCTTAGCTCGTTCTATATTATCAGTAGCCTGACTTCTGCTAAGTATTAGCTAAAATAGATTTAATCAACTCATCAAAACAGAGAATCATTTGAATCAAGACATGGCATTGAAGACCAGACAAGTGTGAAGTCCTACACACCCTTTGTAGGCGTCTCATCACCCAAGCAGTGTGTGTGTGTACGTGCAAGAAACTAAAAAAACTTTTGCTATGTTCTGAAAGATTTACAGCAAGTAAAACCCACAGGAGACAGAACTAGGAAAGAGACCCTGTGGCTGGTTTTGGAATTTGGACCACGAAAAATGCATTTTGACCGTAGTTTCTCAATGACTGTACACGGTGTTCGTCCCAGCAGAGCCCATGTTATATCCTAAACTTGACAGTGAAGGACAGCATTGAGATTTTGGACACAGGTGAGAGATAAAACATGGGGAAAAACCACTGAACAACTTGCAATGCTGAGGCAAACCCTGGGTCAGGGCTGGTGGTAAGCCATAGCAATTCCACTGACCTAGATGTGACTTCTCTCCTTCAGCTCAGGTTGGAGTCAAGCAGCCTACTCATTTCCTGATGAGCAGGGCAGCATCTTCATTATCCACATGCAAACAGAAGAGAGGGACGTCAGAAACTAACCTGGAATGCAGAAACAATTTGTGCATCACTTAGTAAAGCAGAGGAAAAGAGTACATGAGTAATTGCAGTCCTCAAGGAAAGGAAAACAGAGAACAACATTGGCAAGGCTTAAGTAAAATGTGAATGAGAGTTCTTGTGTGTTCCCTCATCCCCAGTCTCAGCTCTTCAGCCAGTTTACACAGGCTTGCCCCTCAGTATGGCAGTCAGTGAGAGGATAAAAATCATGCTCAGCTCAGCCATGATTTAATGCCCTAGACATTAAGTTAAATTTAATACTTTTTTTATAGTTTGCAATTTCAGTTGTGCCCAGATAATTTTTTCGAGGAGATTGTCACAGTTTTACCTTTCCTAGTAACAGTGATTATAGATGCAAATTATCACATTATAGTTGTTGCCACGGAAATAAACTGCAGTGTTATAAGCACAAAAACAAAGAGCCTGCTGCAAAAGAAGATGCAGCAGCCATGGCTTTAGGAAAGTGGTTTTTTGGTAACAAATGGTGAACCAATTGTTCCAAAACCTCCTCAGCTATAGGGGATGATACAGCAGCCCCAATTTGCATTTTTATAGAACTCTACATAACGTCTCAAGTTGCTTTAGAAACAGAGGGTGCCTCATACCTCACGGCCTGAGGTCAAAGGGTAGTTTTGTCGTACCACGAACTCAAGTAGGACACTTTCAAGAGTCTTTGCACTTCAGGCTGTTCCTCCAGTGCTGAAACACAATCCCAGGAGCACTCAGTTGCTAAAAAAACAAGTCTCTTTTGTAGTGATAATATGCATGCATGAGCATGACTAAGATACTTTATAGCAGATCCATCCTTTCGAAAACTCCCCTTAGGCAGGAGGATTTCGCCACTGGCCATATCCTTCGAGCCTATAGCCATGTGATGCCACAGAAGATTATAATGGGGCCAAAGTCTGATTTGATGTAGGAATCCATTTTAAAGGGTGAAAAGAAAAAAATTAAAATCAGCATTGCTTAGTTATTCTTGCACGGTGAGGGCAAAAAAACCACAGGGTCAAAAAAACCCTCACAATCAACTAAACACTGATTTTGAGAAAAGCCATGTCCTAACCTCGCTCAGAGGGTCCACTGGTGACACCCCAGACCAGCTGCTTGCCCTGTGTGGGGAGGCAGGAGCCATCAGGGGCACACCCAAGGGAGAGGGCTCTGTGGTGCAGGGGTGGAAGGCACAGTACCAGGTGGGTAAGAACCACACTGGCTGCAGAGCCCTGACACCCAGACGGGCTGGTTTGTGCCTTGTGAAGTCTGTCCAGGGCAGGGGGGAACAAAGAGCTGTGGGTGCAGCCACTGTCCCGTGCCATGTGCTCACAGTGGCCTTTCAAAGGGTATGTCCAGGAGGGGACGGGGGAGCAAAAGAGGACACAAGCCCACCGCTCTCACCAGAAACATCTTTCTCCAATTAACAGAGACACAGAGCTATGAAGCTCCTCAATTTTCTATTTTCCTAATCTGCTTTTCTAGCCCCACCAGAGGAATCAGAGGATCAGGCTTGCAATGGCTCCCATCCATGTCCCTGCCTTGCTTGATGCCAACCACCCTCTCCAGCTGGGATTCTGCCTCGGTTGGGCAAGGCTGCAAGCCATCAGCCCTGGCAGCTGCCTGTGCCCTCCCTGCCTGCCAGCCCTGCTGGCCACTGCCTGCCTCCAGGGAAAACAGCCTCCCTGGAAGGCACACTGAGCCAGGAGGCTGGGCTGAACCCACCCACTGAGCACGCTGGTGGGCTCTGGGCATCAGGGGAGGAACGTCCAGAGGCCACAGTGGCAAAGTGGTGGGCACTGCCAGAGCCCACCCGCTGTCTGTGCTGCAGGTACACACAAACAAACTCTGCTCCGGTAGTCTCAGACGGACTCATGTCACAAACAGTCCATTAGCTTTTTAAAAAGCCAAATAAACAAACAGAGCAGGAGATTATAACTGATTAACTGAAGGGCAGGAAACATGAGAAGCTGGTTTGCTAGAAAGAAAAGCTCTTGTGCTGAGATCTCCAGTAATTAGCGGTAACAAGACCTAAAGAAATTTATGAGGGAAAAAAAAATATCAAACCCTTCCTGTTTAAATGTTCTCTTTTCCTATGTTTTGCTTGGCAGACTAGCTTAAAACACAAACACAGACTGGGTCTCAAATACGGAATAGATTCATGCTCTGCAGTACTCATATACTTGGATTGCAAAGCAAATGAACATGGATCAATGCAAGGGTTTTTTTTTTTCTTTCCCCCCAAATTATGTGTTTTGTGAACAACTATCAGACTGACAGCTCTGTACTTCCCTCCAAGCACCTGGAAGGCAAGTTGGTCACTGCTGGCAAATGCTTGAGGTGCTCCTTGGAGCATGGTCACAGACTGAAGCCACTGGAGAGTCGAAGGCCTTCACCATGACTGACCTGGTGGGATTCAGGAATAATTTAGCAATTTCAGCACAGCAATGGTCTACGTGCCCTGTTGATCAGTCTGCAGTGGGGCTGCTGTTGATTGTGCAGGAGCCTACCTGGTTTTGTTGTCCTGGTTCAGAAGCGTCCTCCACCCGGCTCCTGGGCAGCGCAGAGTCCCCCTGGTTCACGTAATGAGATCCCCAGGCAGAGCTGAAACCCTGACCTAGATTTCAATGGCTCTCTGGAGCTGTGTTTAGGCCTCTTCAGCATGGCTGTGTTTACTCCCTTAAATTGCAGATAAACTGCAAATTAAAGAGAGCTTTAGGTCTTCCCCCCCCCACTTTAAGCACATTCATCTCTTACTTAGTTGTCCTGGGTTTGCCTTTCTTTGTTAGATGTTCCAGGAGACAACTTGAATCAAAACTAAGAATTGCTCAAACTGGTTGCAAATCTTAGCATCCAATCTTGGAAAAGCAGCATGAGCAGACCAGCAGTAATTTCATTGGGAAGGAGGACGACATCCTGAGTGAGCACACAGAGCTCATTAGCATCGAGTTATTATTCTGCATTATGGTGTGTCCCAGGTGCAATTACAGCTCCAGGATGCAGGTCTCTGCGCATGGCTAAGGATGGTGATTAAACTCCAACACAGGGGTGAAGGAAAGGAATGTTATTCCATTTCCCTGACAGTGAATTGCAAAAAGACAAGGTAAGTCTGAATATCAGTACAAAGCAACAGAGAACCAGAGGTGGCTCTCGGGAGCTGTGTGGTCTGATGGCTCTGGAGGTCCCATCACCAACACTGCTGGGGTGTCCAGCCCCTCTCCCCTGCAGGGTATTACTTGGGTATTTGGACCTAACTTGCAGAAATCACCAGGATCAGTCAGATGCTTTCCCAGTGGATATCAGTGGCAGCAGGATTAGGCCACTGCAGAGGATTATGGAAAACCCTCAAATAGAAGGAGGCCCTTCCCCTTCCAAAAACAACCATGGATTTGGGGAAGGAAGAGCCCAAAGACTGACCCCCTTCCATCACAGTATGTGATGGCTGCTGTTGCTGTGCGGGCACGTCCTCGCCACAGGAGCTGGGGAGGGTATTAAAACCCAGTGATATCTCATGGGAAACAAGCAGAGCGGGGCGTTCCCACATTTCCTTTGCTAGCTTGCCACTTTGGAACGTGTGGAGCCCTTTATCCAGGCTGCAGTCACAGACACAGGAGGGGCTATTCAGCTCCTTGAGCAGTGATTTTGTAGTTGTTTCGAAACCTGCCAGTGGACAAGCTGGAGGTCCTTGGCTGGGGCCACTCCAGAGCAGGTGTGGGTGTGGGCAGCAGGTGCTGAAGCCTTGTGCACATTAAAAAGCAAACGAGTGGGTGACAATTGAAGTGTTGCATATTTCTGCCTGAAAAGAGCTCTCCCACAGCCTCACCCCGCTTATTTCAGCACAGCACTGAGCTGCCATAATTTACACTTACCAGAAGAGAGAAGACATTAGAACGTTTAACTTCTTTAAATAAATATTTTCTATTTTAGTGCCCAGCGTTGTGCACTTCCTTTGCAGCCCAGCCCAGAGATCTCAGCAAAGGTTGACAGTACTTGCGACGGCAAAAATACGTTTTCAATATCATTTTTAGAAATCCTTGTCAGTGTTTGGATATTTGCAGAGCTGTGAAAGGCCAGCTGCCCCCAGAAGAGCTGTCACCCAAAGGGAGCTTCCCAGCAGCCAGTCTCATGGTGACACGGGTGGGAGGCACAGGTCTCCTCTGCAGGCTTAGGTGGGAGCTGGGGAAGAGCTCTGTCCTTCTCAGCCCAGCAGTTTGCATTCTGGAATAATCCTGCTGAGGGGAAAAAAAACCAAACAGCAGGGCTGAGAGGTGGAAAAGAGTGGCAGAATTGATGTTCCTTCAGTGCTCGAAGTCAGGCAGGGATGGATGAGTTTTTAAGGTGCAGAAGGGAATCCAGCTCTGGTTTTGAATGTGTGGGAAGCTGCAGGTAAAGTCCGAACTTCCTTTTCACCTCTGGTTTTGCTTTGTGTCAGGTCAGACCCCACTCTCGCTTGGCTGAAAGTTACCACACTAAAAAGCTTTGGAGTGACACTGGTAGGGATGGGGAGCAAGGGGAGCCAGCCCACCCACTCCCATCACAACACCTCTGCCAGGCTGGGCAAACCCCTAAAGACCTTCCCACCACGTGAAGTGCTGTGACCCTGCAGTGGAACCACCTCCTCCTGGGCATGGAACCCCGTACCCCAGACCACATCCACCACTCGGGCTGACAGCTGGCCTGAAGGAGAGCAGCAAAGTTTTGTCCATGAAGGGGCATTAGCTTTCCTTTCAACAGTTGACTGAGGAAATGTTTGGATGCTGGTCCTCAAAGTGAGGTGGGTTTTACATTTCTGCTGTTGTGCAGAGGCTTGTGAGAGCCAGGCACTGCCTGGCACAGCACTGCCTGCAGCAGCCATTCCAGCAGCAACTGGGGCTGTTTCTACTCCGACCATTTTCCCCACAGAGACATTCATGAAATTACCTCTGCTCAAAGCCCAGAGCTGGCCCTGCTTGTGCAGCCTGAACACTGCCCTGCTGTTTTCAGCCGTGGCTGTCAGTAACCCTTTTGCAGGACGAAATCCCTGTCTCTGAAGCACTTGCACCAGTAGCCTCTTCTGTTCGTTGTTCATCTACAAAACATGACTGTAAAATGAGACAGTTGATTAAATGAGAAAAATCTACTTTTTCCCAGCCACCCTGATGGCACTATTGTGCCCTGCTGTGCTGGCCATGACCATGTACTCTGTGGTGCCCAGGAAGTCTCCCTGTTTGGGGTTACCTCCACTGGTGCAACTCACTGGTGAGGCTGTTTGGTGCGTCACCCACCCCATCCCACTCTCAGCTCCACTTTGTTCCTCTGCTCCTCCATATGGCACAAACTGGGGCTGTGATGCTGATTAAAAAGATATTTAAATTTTATCTCATTGAATTTACATCTTCAAAGGTCTCTGAAAAATGTAAGTCTCAAAAAAAAAAAATCATTAAAATATAAAATGTATTTTGGGGAAAAAGAAAAAGCAGCACATTTTTGAAACAGCTCCTGTTTTAAGCATATGTGAGAAAAGGCAAGGAAACAGAGGGCTGGACTGATGAGTGAAGTGTGGAAACCCATTTTCTCTCCTTTGTTAAGTAGCTGGGGCAGTCACCAGTGGCTCAGAGGGCAGCTCTCCAGGCTTGCCCTTCCCAGTGACCGTGGGCATGTCCTGGCTGTCAGCACCTGGGCAGTTCTGCCAGGAGTGGTGTTTTCTCAGGGAGTAAGCAAAAGGGTGTTGAGATGATGCTGAGGGATGCCTGAACTGTGGGTGAGCCTGCCTGGCCATTCAGCTGCCACGAGGGCAGAGGCTGGAGAGTCCCCTCCCTGTTTGAGACTGATGGCTTCTTGGGCTGTGACAGTCCATCAGGGGTTTAATAACTACCTGCATTTTGTGATTTGTCACTGGGAAGATTAATGACCTGTACAAACACAGACTGATACAGTCAAAAAAGATTTGGCTGCTTAAATCTGTAGATTCTAGAACAGATGGCTGCTGCAGGACCCCACTGCCTCAATAAAAGAGGGGTCTGGGGTGCAGGAAAGAAAAGCCCATCCCTGCCCATGTGTTCCCATTCAACATGCACAGTGCCTTTTCTTTATTTGTTCTGGAATGGCACTGGAGTGACAGGCCACAGTGAGCTGAAACTGCTGACCAGGGCTTAGCTGTAATTACAAAAGCAGCACATGCACGGTGCTGGTGAGGTTGTGCCTGGGGAGCGGTGTGTGGTGCTCTGACAGCCTCCCCACCAACAGCCTTCCCACACCCCTCCACCTACCTCTTCCAGGGGGAAACCACCATGCCAGGAGCCTTCCCTTGACCAGGAGCTGCTGCCAGCATCAGTGGCTGGTCCCTCATCCCAGCTCCCAAGGTTGCTGCATGTCCTCATCAGTCCCAGCAAATCCACTGGTGGGGAACTCAGCCTTCGAATAAGAGACACCTGAGAAAAGTGTTATGATTAAACAACTGAGTACCAACCAGCAGCCCTTGCAGATGCCCCAAAGGTGACATAGGCTTCCTTTAAGCTCTTCTAGATCAGATTCAGGGGAATTCACTTGGCCATGCCAGCACTGCTGGCCCGGGAGCACTGCATCATCCTGGATGGGCACATTAACGTGTGCTTCATTCTCTGTCACATTTAGTATCAGCTGTGATTTCACACGCAGCTGTACATCAGCTCCCTTTTGGTCACAATCTGCCACCCTTTTCTAGCCATTCAAATTTACAGCAACATTAATAGCTCAAAAGTAATAGTGTTTACTGAGTACTAGATTTTAATAAATTAGGATGAAGCAACAGTTCCTAACAAGAACTCCAGAAAACACAAAAGCTGAACTGAATGTAAGCTTTTTCACCTCGATTAACACATCCTTGCCTATTGGCAGAAAGTTTCCATTGCAGCTGTGAGAAAATTATTCCACGAATTATGTCACATCGATTCACACTGAAATTCAAAGCCAGAGAGAAAGCAGAAAAGCATTCCCTATGTTCTTACAGAAAATATCACTGCTTCAATTAGGTGCTACAGATGCTTGGAGTAAACATATTTTCCACCAGTTTTCTTAGAACCATACCCACTTAAATCTCCAATATTCTTCTGCATGTTCATTTTTCATCCCAGTTTAATACCACGCCTCTGGGTGTTAGTGGTTAAAGGGATACTGCCAAGCAAAGAAAGCCAAGAAAAGCTGGGATAAGAAGGGAAAATATGCCCTTTATATAGTAAATAAACTTTTCAGTTTAAATGTTATGGCTGCTGTCAGCATAACTCAGAGGAGGAAAAAAACCCTGTGCTAGTTGTACCTTTCAGTTCTTGGACCATGTGAATGTCCAGTTCTCCAGTTTTGAATCTGCTCCCAATCCAGTGGAAATAATGCACACAACTGAGCATTCAAGTCTCTAATAAATCTCATCTTTGTATGGAATCCCTGGGATTCAGAACAAAAACAAAACTAGATAAGAATTTTTAATATTTCAGTAAATACCATCTTTTTTTTCCAATAAAAACCTGAGTTCTAGGGAGCCCAAAAATCCTCTGGGTGTAACAAGCATGGAGTAATAAGGTCAGAGTTGAAACATGGAGTAACTACTGCATGTGAACTGCACATGAATACATGAGTTACTATGAGTTACTATCGTGTTTATCCTTCCCTTATAAAAGCATGGGCAGGGGAGGAGAGGGGAAGAAATCACTGGGTTTACAGGTGTTCTAAATGCAGCTTACTTTAAAGCTAAAAAATCCTGGCAGATGGTCCCTAACATCTGGGAGAACCTAAATGCCCAGATAAAAAAATTCATTTTCTTTATTCCTCTTTATTGGGACTGTATTTGGTAACAGTGTACCGTGATAAGATCTATTTCCTATGCTTGTCTCTTAAATTTAAATCTCAAAGCAACATTTATAAACATCACAACCTATCAGTTATTACTGTAGTGCAGTATCACTGATCTAAATTCAGATCAGTGACAGTGTGCATAAATATGTCACGTAGAAATACATCTGCAACACTTTCCCAAACAAACCTCTCAGAACTTTTTTTTCTTTTAAGAGATGTCTGAGAAAGAAGAAAAAATAGATTACATTAGCATACCTCATGAAAACAAATGGTTTGACCTTGTAGGAATAAAGGTAGGAACAGCTCTATTAATCACGTAAAACCCCCTAAAATCATAAAGGTTCGCTGTTTTGGGAGGAAGAACCATCTCTCTTTATTCCTGCTTGGCAGCCGCAGGCACAGCAGGCAGCATGGCGAGTGCTCCTAAGCCCTGCAACAACAGTGCTACAGCCATTCCTGCAGCCATTCCAGCAGTCCCAGGGGAGCAGCGTGGGCAGGATGGCACAGGGGTGGGCCCTGACCCTCTCCCAGCCAGCCACCAGTGAGCTGTGAGGGATCCAGTGGGGAGCAGAGCGAGGGTGACACCAGACTCCTGCCTGGCACACCTTGTCCCTCGCTGGCACCTCAGGTCTTGCTGGGTTGCAGCAGCACAGCATCCCTCCCACCCCTACCTTGCCCTTTCCTGTAATTAGCTCTGTTTTCTGTGTAAGGGGGGGAAAATCTGGGTTTCCCTCTTCTGATTGACTGCTGCCACAGCTCCCCCAGCCACCCCAGGGATGCCAGGCAGGTTTTGCTGTTCATCAATCGCACAGGAAGATCACAGATCCTCTTTGTTTAGGATAGCAGGTCAAGGCTGTTCCCAGCTGAAATACCACAGGAGGAAACAACAATCAAATGAAGTGTAGCTGATTCTCAGCCCCAGCACTGCACTGAGAACCCTCTGTGCCAGCTTTCCAGGGGCTGAGGGGAGTGAGCAGCTCTATTTTGCTTGCTAAATTAGCCACTAGGGTAGCAAGTGCTATCTGCAACAGCTGTATACCTGAAAAATCTAGAAAATATTCCCATCAGAGGCCTGGGAGTAAGAGACCTGGAGACACATGGGTTGGATGATTTTAAAGGTTGGATCTCTCTCTCCTTCTGCCATAAACACAGGTGGGAGTAGACAGGTGACGGGAGGATGCTGGTAAACAGAACCTGCAGAAGGCCCAGCTGTTATAAGAAACATAGATGGAACGGGCATATTTTCTTTAAACCAAGCAAAATCTAACCTTAGCAGTTTGTTTCCATAGCCCAAGCCCCTTTACAGTACATCAGCCGTTCTTGGTCCAACCCCTTCCCTCCCTCACCTCTCCATCCAGCTCCCAAGGTCTCTGTGGGGAGACAGCATCACTCCTGTGCACAGGCTGCCCAAAGTGCTGCAGGTTTCTTCCCTTCCAGCACCAATGATGGTGTTCCCTGCAGGCCCTTCCTCCTCTTCTGCTGCCTGCTTGCTGGGCTGTCTCATCTGCCTCCACCTGCCTCACCCCACTGCTCTGGCTGGTCTCCAGCTACAGCTTTAGGACTTGGATGTCAAGGGCTAGTCACACACAGAAAGGCAAATGAAAAACAGGGCTGTCATTCATTCCAAAGCAATTGAAAATCAAATTGCTGCACTATGTATCTAATTCTGAAGACCTCAGTTTGAAAGGGTTGATTCGCCGAGTTCTTTCAATATTTCTGCCCCACCTCAAGGCAGCAGCTTGAGATTTTCTTCCTGTCCCCTCATAACAGAGCAGTTCTCTCCTCCCCACAGTGGTATTTGTCTTGCCTATTGTCAGCTCAGAAACTTTGCAATCAGCTAAAAAAGGGTTTTTACCCCCCCATACCCAGAATGGGACATTACTCTCCAGCGAGGTCAGGTGTTCTCCAGAGACCTTCCCTTATCTTTGGCCAACTAAATAGTTGCATGCAAGGAGAAGAGAGAGAAATGAGAAATTCCCTTTTGCAAACATTGACATAGTCTGCAAGAAATTCATAGGCTGACAAGATAAAATGAGAGTGCTTTTAATAGCAAAAATATGTTTTCTTTGGCCTATATGCAACCCAGGGCTTTCCAGGTGCTCAAGTTTAAACTAGAGAGACATTAATTATTAAACAGGCACAAGAGGAGACCTGAGGAAATTATTCCTCCTTTCTCCTGTTCAGTGTTAGGGTACAGCTAACCCTGGATCTGGGGTCACAGAGGGATTTTTCACCTGTGTTTAGTTTTCTCTTCATTTCCTTCCTGCTAAAGATCTCCCTGGTGCACAAAGCCTTGGGGTTTATCCATGCTCTCTTAACAGGAGCACAGCTCTGGGGCTTTGGGTGAGCCCAGTCTGGAGTTCACTGCTCGGGCCCCAAAGACAGACACTCTCCCTCAGTGGTGCAGCTGTACCAAAAAGTGATAAAGGCAGTTTCACGTTTCAGTTCTTTATCTGGTTGTTACAAGGAGTGTGTGTGGGGAGGCAGAATTGCTCTTTTCTCAACACCAGGTAAACCCAGCCTGCCAGGAAACTGAGAGGATGCCAAAGGGACAATGCAGCACCTGTCCCCTGAGAGAAGATTGTCTCCTTCCTGGCTATGCTGCCCGTGCACCAGACCCTGGTGTGCATGGGCTGGTCACCCAAGTCATCCCTCTGACCCCAGCGCTGGTTAGAAACACAGGCAATTCATCTCCTGCCTAAATTTACAGCAAACGCTTCCTGTCCTGGCACTGGAACTGCTCCGAGGGATTGTCCTGGGAAATGAACAGCTCTAACAATTTCCAGAAGCCAGTGACGGTGCACGCTGTTCCCAGGGCAGATGACTCAGTGGATTTATCTTGTTTTCTCTCAGCCTCAGACACCAGAGCCCCCAGAAGAACATTTTCCTTAGCTTTTGCCCCACAGCATCCTGGCTTTACACGTGGTGTGAGGCAGACGCTGCTGGGAAGGCACAGGGAGCTGACTCTTCCTGCCCAGGGCGGGGAGGAGCACTCCCTGTACAAACACCAATAGTAAGCTGGTGTTGGCTTCTGCCAGGCTTTTACCATCACCACCTTGTAGTGGGTGTTTCCTGGCTATGACATTCCACGCTGGCTGCATTTTTTCTCACAAGAGTTTGCACAAGGTGGGACTACTTTAACTCAATTAGGAGAACAAACCAAACCCCAATTGATCAGAAATTATTCAGATGAGTCTCTTCTTACGCTCATTTTTTAGGCTGGGTTGAACAATATTTTCTCCACACTTAACTAGGGTGGAAACAATGTAGATTTGGGGAGGAGCCCTTAGATAAAGCTAAGGCATATTGCATAAGACAGACTTTGTGAGAGAATGGAGCTGAAATAGGACAGAATAATACAGGCAAAAGGGACACATGTTCCTCATCTATCACATGATTTTATAAGATGCTGTAAGTGAAGTTAGTTCTAAGAGCTGGCTGCAACTGGTCTTTCCAAGGAACTTTCAAGAGAAATCAGTATGGCTTCAACTTTATGTTAACTTTCCATATGGGAACTTCGTTTGCTGTGTAAAACTTCATTTCTCTTCATACCTCCAAGTGGAGCATGAGTGGGGTGATGCTGGGAGCCTCCTCTTTGCCCACTGGATCAAGTCTGTTATCTTTTCTATCCCGAGTAGGATTCCCACTAAGGCAAAATAATCCAACTGTATTCTGTAAAGCAGCTCCTCCAAGCTGTACAGAACATCTTCTGAGGTTGTGTTGGAATACCTCAGAGCTGCAAAACCCCCAGTGAAACCTCACAACACTCACAACCAACAGGAAACAGCTCAGAAGAACTGCAGGGAAACAATGAAAAGTCATTTCATGCTTTTAACACTGGCAGAAGACCTCAGTCTTTACCTGCACAGCAGCAGCCCTGTCACACAGGGAACGAGATGGGATGCCAGTACTCGATCCCACACTTTTCCAAGCAATCCAGTGATATTCTGATTCCTACGCTCTTCCAACCCAAAGCTGAGCACTTGCTTCTCACTTCCCCCATGCCCCTGTTGCCCAGCCATGCAGCCCCACGTGCAGGGGAGGTGCTTCCCACCTTGGCCAGGGACTGCCACCAGCTGAGAGTGCCAGGCAAGGCCGTGTCCAGGGGGGCATGCACAGAGGTGGTGACTAAATACAGCCCATTGTAACTCTCTGCAAGGTGGGAACACTCTGCACGAGGTGAAGTCAGAGCCGTGCTGCTGTCCTTGGCCAAGGTATTGAACTGCTCCATCTCTCAAATGCATTTGTTCACTCTTCATTTAGAACAGCAGTGCTTTCTTTAAGGCACAGCTGATGACAGGAGAAGAACTATCTGCCCTGGCCACCTCTATTGCAATCCTTGGAAAATATTTTGGCTCAGCCTTTGGCTGTCTCTGGGGCCACTGTGTATCTGTTCCATCAACCCTGACTTACCAGACCTTAAGGTGGGCCATGGGTGATGGTTCAAGAATCTGGTTTTTTCCCATTTGAAACTCTGTTTGGCTTTGTCCTAAAGCAGAACAGAAAAGGTCGTGTTTTGCAACCTCCCTTGAAGCATGGGAGCTCAGAACACTCTTGGCTCAGACATTCCTTGTGGGGAATCAGCTGCCTGTACCTGCTCAGATGAGCTCAGAGGCCCCGTGCTCTTCAGTGCAGCACCTGCCCCACAGAGAGTCAGTCACAGGACAGTGTTCAGCTACTGAGGTTTAGCCACAACGCTGGCACAGAGCCGCTGTTGTAAAAGCAGACAAGTATCAACATTTCGTCAACGTATCCCAGAGGAAATGTCTCCTCCTGATTTCCTTGATGGAGGATTGAACTCCCCTGCTCTGACAAATCAAGTGTGGCATTCTTCTTTCTTAAAAAAAGAAACACTATGTTTTACTGAAACCACATATTTATCTCGGGAAACAGTGAGGGCAACCTCCCAGCAAGCTCAGCTTGAGCAATCTGTTGATCTGTACAGCCTCTGCCACCAAGACACACCGGCTTTCCAGTCAGGAAGTGTCTTCCCAGCCTGGTACACTACATCATGCTGCTTTATTGTCATCAGAGTTTCAACTGAGAATAAGAATGGGAAAACTGTTATACAGGCACACGGGTATTTTCCTGTGCCAAAGAAGGTTCATTGCCACATCCACACCATGAAAGGTATAGAAGTTGCTCAGAATTTGTGTTAAAACTGGTAAGCAAAAAAAAAAACCTCCTAACCTGCCCGACCAAAAAAAAGTCCCATAATTTTGCTGCTTATTCAGTTTGGTCACAACAGACCAGATGTTTTCAAGCTGCTGGACAGAGAGCTCGACAGCGAGTTCAGCTCAGTGTCAGCTGTGAGTCTGAACTACAGGCATAAGGACGTAAGTGCTATGGACAAAATCATCTAATCATCTAATTTTTCTAGATTAGGTGATGGCTTGAACTCAAATACCTGCCACAGTTAAAAGCAGACCTTTTGGAAGGATGGAAGGCAAGGGGAAAGGGATATGGTGCTTATCCAGTTAGCACAGATTGTTCTTTTGAGAAATTACCAGACTTGTAAGAAAGATCTAAATAAAAGGTTGTATACATAACAGGAGTTTAGGAAACTTATGAATTGGGAAAAACTTGAACATTTGACAGGTATGATAATGACTTTCTGGAATCAGTGATGGATGCTGAGTCACGGACATTTTGGGCAAAAAAAGGGGTTCTTACCAATAACCCTGCTGGGATGTCAGGGCCTATATGCATCTGTAAACCTATTTTGTTCTCCTACAGATACTGTCCTGCAAAGTGCATAGACAGGTAATTGCCAAAGCTGTAACCACCCAGAGCACAAAGTGTATTTTCAAAGAAAGGTGATTTTATAAGAAGTAACAAGGGAGAACATAGTAAGGATCTCCTTTGGAGAAGGCTGCACCAATACCATAAAACCTGGAAGGGGATCTTTGCACTAAGAGCAGGAGCTTTGATAAATAAGAGCACAACAGAGCAGAAAGCAAGACCCTCACAGACATGCACTCTTAGCCTTCAAGTGTGGTGAAACCTGTGCTAGCCCAAGCCCAGCACGTGGAGCCTGCTGAGCCCGACTCTCTGGGACATTTCCCTGACCTGGGTCGAAAAACTGAACGTGCAGAACATCGGTTTTGCAATATGTTAGTTGTACTTGCTAAATAACTTTCCATAACACATGCAGATACCATCTTTTGTCACGGCCTAGAAAACACTTTAAACAACTGTTTCCTCAAAAATCAAACCAAAATTTATATTGAGCTGAAAGATGATGACAGACTTCTGTGGGATTAAGCAATTTCTCTCAGCATTTTTGTGGGTTGAACTAAACGGAGAGATTACAAGCAGAAAGGAAAGAACCACCCCCAGATTTTCCATTTTCAAAAAAAAAAAAAAAAAAAAAAAGAGGAAAAAAGAGTGAGGAAACATTCTGAAAGAACTGTAGAAGATAAACAGCTAGTTAGACATGACGTACCACAGCCTTGACCTCCCATCAACAACTGTCTGTTATTTCCGTTCAAATCAGTTGCTGATATGGTTTTCTTCTCACCCAGCAGCTCCAGCTGTTTCTGAACATTTCTGCTTGCAAAAGGAGAGCGTGCACAGGAACAAAAGTAGAACATAGTAAAAAAAAAAAACAAAAAACAAAAAAAACCCAGTAAAAATTTTGGCTCTATGAGCACCAAGAGACCAACCACGAATGCAGCACCTCTTCCAACAGCTCTTCAGTGCCAAGGCTGGCACACAATAATCCCCTGGGAGGGCAGAGCAGCTCTGCATCGCTGCCTGTCCCTAGAGCCAGACTAAGGATAAGTTTGGGCAGGTACAGGCCCATCACTCACCCTCCAACAGCAACAGAAGCAGGACAAGCATCACAGATAAGCAGGCTGCTCCTCCAGAGCAATTCAGGGAAGTTGCAATGAGTCACTTGTAGTCACTGAGGGGAAAAAACCCAGACATAGGTATTAAGAAGTGGGATGGATTGATTTCATCATCTTCATAATAGGAATCTCAGATTAAAGCACCTCACCTGCTGCTTCAGGAGCACTGTACAGCCCTCCAGACATCAGAGTTGGCTGTTTTGAATGCACAACATGTACAATTGATAGGAGAATAAACCTGAATCATGCTGGATGCTGTTGTTAAAACAGTTAGGAGAAAATGTAGTCATCTACCACAGAAAACCACATCATAAAATTAGAGATGAAGCCTGCCAGGATGGATTTAACTCTATTTATGAAGTGCCTGTCAGTGATGTGGTACTGTCCAAAACAATTAAACAATATACTTGATTGCTAGAGGAAGGACCAAAGATCAACTGAAGTTCACAGAGGGGCTTATGCATTTTCATTTTACTGGAATGCACACCCTCTATGTATGTTGGAACTCATGATGTGCTTCTCTGTTATACTTTGTGCATAAAAACCAGAATTCATATTGCTGTTTGGGCCTTTAAATTCACACAAGGGTTTTAGTTCTGACATGGCCTCCATGCTCCAGGTGCCCCCACTAACCCAGTGATGCACAGGGAAGTAAATGTTGCCTCAAGCCTGGGCAGCCCATTCTCCCCAAACACCCTGTGGATGCCCCAGCCATCACTGGCCTGTTGTCAAAGGCTAGCAGTAGAGTAGATTAGAGTCACTTTTCAGCATTTCTGTCACTTGGACTTGGTGACACAAATCTGTGGACCTCTTTCATACTGTAGAGAGGAGATAAATCCTGCCACCTGAGATAGATCTCACTGCGAATGATGCTTATGTCCAACACGTCACTCAGCAAGTCAATGCAGCAAGTCTCACTGAAAGGGTCTGTGGGGCAGTGCCTTCATAGATTAATTCTTGCAAGGACCTGAAAATTGGTAACTAATGTCTCAAATAGTAAATCAATAAGTTCTAGGATATTAAATCTGAAATAGAGTAAAAAGAGTGAAGCAAATAGCAGTATCTTATACAGAGAAGAAAAGTAATCTACAAAGACTTTCTAAATAAGGCTGGGAAGTTCAGATTTAAATCTCTTTTTAAGTCAGTGGTAAAAGAGGAAACATTTAAGTTTTTACAGCTACTAACTGCTCGTTGTGTGATCATGAAAGAGTTAAATACCGAAGGCCAGCAGTTTTTCCAGAGTGTTTTGCATTTTTCGGTTCTCAGACTGAGAGCCATTGAGCACATTACCACACGCAAACCTCTCTCAGACCAGATGCCAGAGCCTGGGAGGCTTGGGCACTGCTGAGCTGCTCCTGCGAGCTGGGGCAGCAGCCAAGCCACACAGAAAAGGACAAGTCAGGTAACTCCTGACGGCAGCTGTTTTTCCGCTTACGCCTCTGACTCCGAAGAAGCACAGAAACCAAAATCCAACAGCACATCGCAGTGCACGGGAGGTCAGGCAGGGAGAGCAAAGGGGGCAGAAGGAGCTGCCCCAAAGACAGGCTGAGTCACCTGATGCTAGGATTAGGGTCAGCTATAATGCAGCACAGGATGGGGTAGGGAAAGGTTTGGAACACAAACGCCCAGCCCCACTGCAGCCCAAGGACAACGTGCAGGGAGGAGAGTGGGACAGCAGGCAGCTCCAGGGGGAGAAAAGTGCCCCAAGCAACACAGGGTCCCACTCTACCACTCTATGCAGCAGTAGAGTTTTGAGTTTCCCCTTATATTCAGAACATCTGGTTCGTTATTTTCAATTAAAAAGAAGCTGTACCAGCTCTGTCAAGGACACTGCCCCTCAGACTGCTTTTCTGCACGGCACACTGAGACGATTTAGAGGGCGAGAGAACCTGGGTTTGGAAACCCAAATGTTTGGGGGGGGGTGGGCAGTGTAACAAAACTTCCTGATGAGATGGACGCATGTGATGCCCCTTCCCTTGCTGTTCTCCTTGACTCAGGCATCTGTAAGCACTTCGGATCATCTGGAAGTGACATATGGAAGAAGTTGGATTTTAAGCAGAGCCGACTCTCTGCTGATAATAGACACAAGATGGTTGATAACCTGGATCTGAAGGGCCAGTTCTCTCTCAGTCCCCTGTGGAGGAATATTCAACAGATAAATTTTAATAGGTAATAAAACCGTGTGGGATTCACCAGCTTGGACAATAATTCATTATTAACAATCAGTGCTTCGTCCTCTGCTAATACAGTTAGACTGAGTAACTGAAGAGGATAAATTGCTGTTGAAATACCTGTACAAAAAAAAGAAAACAAACCCAAATATTCCATGTATTTTGCTTGTAGTAATGTATATTCATCTTCCTAATTTTGTTAGGCTCTGATTTCTGATTATGTACAATCCAAGTGACAAAACATATAGCAGTAATTAGCAACTTGCACACAGCAAAAAACAAAGGTGCTCCCAGGGGTTTCATGCCTGTCTCTGCTCCCTCTTTGAAGTGGTGATGGGGTTGCTGAGTTGTGATTGTTAAATAAAAACAGGCAAACAGAGAGCAGTACTTACACAAACTGTGATCAGGACTGCGCCACCCTGCCTTGACCCTTGTTTAGAGGAAAGATCTATTCGTTTCCCAAGGAAGCTGTCCAGGCCAGCCCATGCTGCTCAGAGCAGAGCTGGGCAGTGAGGCAGGGGACAGGGCTGTCATCCTCTCTGGGCAGCACCAGCTCCCAGGACCTCGGCAGCCCTCACCTTCTGCAGCAAAACCACTCGTAAGGGGTTCGACTCAGCAGAGCTGTGTGGCACTCAGTGAAGCTGTGCAGCTCTACAGCTGCCCACAAGATGGAGAGTCACAGCTCTAAAAGTTAGTGCTACAAAGGCCTGACCCTGTTGGTTGCAGCAGAATCTCTTATCTTTCCAGACAGGTACTCTGCTGTATTCAAGCAGAGATGCTTTTTACCTCCGCATTATCTTGATCTTTCCAAAGCTGATCGTGTTCTGTCACACAGGCAGGACCCACCATGCCAAGACACAGGAGCATGAAAAGCATCAGTTTAAAGTCACATCATAGCAGTGATTTTGAAAGATGCCTTGAATGCACAGACACAGCCATCTGCTGCAATATGTGTATGGATTGAAGGTTCTCTGTGCTCTGCCAAACAGCTCCAGACCTGTGAAGGATTCCTGTGGCAAAGCCTTGACAAGTCAGAGAATATTCCCATTCATTTTCCTCTCTCTGTAAATTGGCCAAAGCCACCTCCTGCAGCTCTGGCCTCAGCAGAGCTCCTGGGCAGTGGGATTATTTCTTCCCAGGATCCTACACACTCATAACGCTCAGTGCTCCTTCCACTAACGAGGTTGAAAACCCTAATGGCAAGCAAGGATGAAAACCCACTGGTGGCACATGATTTTTGGCTCATGCCCTTCTCTGTGTGCCTCTGTTCCAGTCCCACTGGAAATCTGTTGAGTTTACTCAGAAATGGAGTGTCAGTCAGGCCTCAGCCTCTGCTTGTGTTGTTGAGGATGCAGAGGTACTTCTGCATCATGACCCAGTCTTACCTCTTCCTTCTTTGCCTCAGTATAATTATGCCCTAAAATACATGTTCTGGCATGAGAACAAGAGAAGATACCAAAATATCTTCACATTATTTAATAAAAGATTTAAAATGAAACTGCCAGCTGTAATTCCCTCCCTGCATCTACAATTTCACCTGAAGCAGAGTTATTATGGCTTTCTTTTTAAAGATTTTGTGGAGAATTAAAGAAATGGGCTTGACCATCAGTACAGCTCAACTGTGCAGGATGCCTCCCCCCCACCTCCCAGGGTGTTTTCCCTAAAGCTATAAAATAAACAAATACAATCCCCTAGGTTCAGGAGCAAGAAGGTGCTTTGGAATTTCAGACCAAGGTCCCAGGACAGGGACCACAGCTGAAAAATGCATCTGGCATGAGAAAATAGGTGCCAGGGGTGTTTGCTGGTAAGCAGCTGAGCTTTGTTACAAGGCACCTTTCCCTCATGCAGGTCACAGTTACACAGGACAGCAATGCCAGGAGCTAATGGGACATCCATCCTCACTCCAGTGCTGACTGTTCTACACTTGGCACTCAGGACTCCAGAGCTTTAGAGCACACAAAATCTGGCAAAGCAAGTGGCTCCTGCTCTTCGGGGTCATAGGGATGCTGCATCCAGGAGCCCAGCTGCATTTGTAAACACCTTTTCAGTTTTCATACTTGCTCCTCTCCCAGGACGTTGTGAGCAAAACTCAGCTAAATACTTCCCCCTGATCAGAAAGAAGAATTAAGTGGTGGCACCACCCCACAGCCTCCTGTTAGAAATCGATGTAGCGATAAGGAGGATGGCAAACTCACCTGGGAAAAGGGAGAGGGAGATGCAGACAAACAAGTGAGAAGCCTCTTACCATTTCAAAGTGAGATTCTGCTGCACAAGGTGATGTAACACAGCAACATGGGTGCTTCACATTGCCTGTGGTGATACCAGGGTGAATTCTCTCATCAAGAAAGTGTGAAGAAGCTCTAGCAGCAGCAGGCAAATAAGCACCTGGAAAGGTGTTTAGAGGGAAGCATTTTTTAAAGCTATTTTATTGTCTACAAGCCTTTTACTACCTTTAAAAAATACCAAGTGCTGCTTACCCTTCAGAGGAACCTGGGAGCAGGATGAGCATGGGTGCCAGGGCACAACAAGCATTCATTTTTAAATACATTGCCAGTTTTGTCTGTGTTTGGAGGAGGAGGCATGCCTGGCAGACAGCAGAACAAGAACCACGCTGGGGAAAGAGAACAATGTTCAAATTAGGTGGGAGGAGATGGAGAGGAGGAAAAAATCTGGATTTTCTGCAGTTTGAAGGTGCTTGGCCCAGAAACTACAAGCCTGAGAACAAGAAAACACTAATTACTTTTTAAAAATGCTTATTTCAAAGTATTTGTCATTGTAACTCACTCAACATATTTATATTGAACTGGTTTACTTGTGTTGGAGACATGGTATTTAAAATGTGAATTGGAGACTAAAGAATACTCTTAAGAAACAGATTTGTTAGTGCTTCTGGCTGGGCATACTCAGGTTATAGCTTTGAAAGTTTGGATTTGTGGGGTGTCTTGTCTTTTTTTCTCTAAAAACAAAGTTAAAAGTTGCTTACGTTTTCATTGCTGAAACTGTATTTCCTCCAAACGCCTTCCCACCCTCCACCTCCCCATTATAAAGAAAAAGAGCAAGATCTGCAAGTTTGAGAGTTTGGCTTTTCAGTGTCAAGGC